CGAATCATACTTATACGAATAATAATACTACTACTAATACTAGTATTACTACGAAGAAGAATATTCAGCATACTAAGAATAACCGTAATGCTAGTAATAATAATATTAGGAATAGTAAGACAACTAATATTACTAATACTAATAAGAAGAAGAAGGGCAGGAGGAAGATGAGGAGGAGGAGGAGGGCGAGCAGACTGGCCAGAGGCCTCTTGGATGCCTCTCGGAGTCTCGTCTGATGTCTCGTCGGATGGTTCGTGAACGCTTCTTGGGGTCCTCTTTGAGCGTCTTGGGGGCCTCTTGGCGGTCCTGGGGGCCTCTTGGAGCGTCTTGGGTGACTCGGGGGAGCCTCTTGGGGCCTCTTGGGGCCTCCTGGGTGCCTCTTCGGGTCCTATTGGGGCACTCTTGGGAGCCTTAGGCGCCATCTTGGGGCCATCTTGGAGGAGTTCGATCAAAGACGGATGGCTACTACATTAGCGCCCCACCAGGAGGCCAACGTGGGCCCAAAACCTTAGGAACATCCGTGATTTCCCCCTTCTCGCCGAGGCCATCTTGGACGCTCCGATTGGTCGCTGGGCGCCCCGTCCAGGTCCAGGGGAGGGGGTAGTGGGAGGGGTGAACCCCTCCTCGAAGGGGAAGGGGAAGGGGGACGATGGACGAGGAACCTCGCGAAACCACTCACGCCCCGAGGGCTGGTGGGACTCGGGGCGACAACCCAGCTCTGGTGAGGGGGCCGAGAGGTCTGGGGCTTCATGCCTCGACAAAGTCAAGCCATGAGGCCCCATGCCTCGACAAAGGAGGAAGAGGAGGAGGCGGAGGAGGAGGAGGAGGAGGAGGAGGAGGAGGAGAGCGAGCATAATGAGGTGGGGTGGGACGGGAGATGGGACGGGTAGGGTGGGACGGGCGATGGGAGCTTGGATCTGCAGTGTGAAGTCTGGCAGAGCGGGCCCAACCCTCCATGCCGGGCGTTGCCGCTGCGTGTGCGCAAAGCGTGTTGCGCTGTCCATCTGTTTTTTTCGGTGCCCTCGTTCAGCTCTGTCGCTGGTGCAGCCATTCTGCCCCGCCGCCGGCGACAGCAATGAGCAAGGCGTGCGAGGGCAAGGGCCCTCCGCGCGTTCCACGGGGGCACCTCGGCGCCCAGCTCTGCAGGAGCTCGGGGGGCGCTCGATGACTGGCTCCTGGAGTGGGGTCGCAGTTCCCCGTGGGCCCTGTGGCCGCCTCCAGCACCTCCCTCGGTTTCGCGGGACCTCCCCCAACAGGCATTCAGGACACAGCTTTGGGGCCTTGCCAATCGGCGTCGCTTCATCAATCCCCGTCCCCATCCCCTTCGAGACCCCCACCAAATTACCACCCCATGTGGGGATATACCCCTCGAAACCCGAAGGGGACGACCTATATCCCCATCTAGGGGGGTAGATCGGCCAGTGGGGTCCAGGCCACGCCGCCGGGGATGGGGATCGGTTAAACGATACTGAGCCATGTGGGTGGGGCGAACAGGATGCTGAGGAGACATAACGATTTGTCGCAGCACCAGCCCCCCACACTTTTGATTGCCTGCGCTGCTACGTTGATTGACTGACTGGCTAGCGGGTTGGCATGTTGGCAACTCGGCTGTTTTTTTGGTTTTCATGTTTGCTGGTTGGCAGATTGACTGGCCAGTTGACGGTCTGGTTGGGTGACAGGCTGGCTGCTCAAAAGTCAAAGACCAGGACGGAGCCAGGGGTGTGTTTTAAAGGGAGCCAAGCTGCATCCGTGCACATGGCCACTGCATTTTGCAATGGATCGAGGCTGCATGAGTGCAGGCCCCGAGGGATCGTGGTCTGGGGAGCGCGGGCACAGTCTCTGTGAGGGGCAGTTGCCTCGGGAGCCTGGGCCTTGGATGCACGAGGGATCCTGGCCTCGGGCCTGCGGACCTCTGTTTTTTTTTTTGTGTTTGCGAGATGCCGCGGCTCCGGGCGCCCGGGCTCTTCTTCGGACTACGCGGGACCTCGGCCTCGTGCTTGCGGATGCCAAGACCCACACTGTTCACGAGGGCTCGTGGCCCCGGGAACCTGGGCGCTTTCGTACGGGAGGGTGCTGCCTCGGGAGTGCGGGTGCAGCGGGTTTTACGAGGGATCGTGGCCTCGGGAGCGCAGATCATTTGTCTTTCATGTGAGGTACAGTCGGGGCGCTGAAGAAGGAACCCTTCTCGTTGGGGAGGGGCTCGGTGTTCCTTGAGCGCTTTACAGCTTGCCTTAGGTTTTCCTGAGGTCTTCCATGGGACATCGAAGTCTAACTTGTGGGAAAATGGGGCATTGTTCCTTATGTAGGGTTCCTCGTTCAGCGCCCCGACGGTATTGTGGCAGCGGGAACGCGTCATCGTTTTCTCTTGTCGTGCTGAAGGGGCTCGGGCTTCGGGAGCGTGGGCCACTCTTAGGGGAGGCCAAAAGGGGCTGGCCTCGGGAGCGCGGGCTCATGGAGAGGCTTCGGGGGTCTGACGGGGGCCTGCGTTTTCAATGTTTTGTCAAGGCATGCGTTTCAAGGTTTTTGGAGGTCTCGTCGTCGTCGTCGTCGTCGTCGTCGTCGTCGTCGTCGTCGTCGTCGTAGTCGTGGTGGTGGTGGTGGTGGTGGTCGTCGTCGTCGTCGTCGTTTTTACCCCTGGGACCCCCCCCTAGGTCCTCGGGGGGGGTCCCGAGGGAAAAGCAACAACAACAATCTGGACTAGTCGTTTTTTTTTTTTTTCCTTGGGACTCCCCCCCCCCAGGCCTCCTCCAGGGGAGGAGTGGAGGGAGCGAGGACGCGCCACCCGTCCTCATTCTCCCATTTCCCTTCCCTCCCCCCCTGAATCTCCCCTCCGCTTTCCCCCCAGGCCTCCAGCAGGAGGAGGGAGGAGGGGTGGACGGACGACGCACCGCCCCTCCTGCACATCTGGAAAGAAGGCAAACGCGTTTGTCGTCATATCTTTCATTCGCTCACCCATTCAATTTCTCGCGCGCGCTCTGTCCGTCCCTCCCTTTCTGCAAAAGTTGGAAAACGCAGCCTCATTATGAAACACATGCATCTCCCCCACCCAGCACAGCGTTTCGTGGCCCCATAAGGGGTTTTCACCTAAGGCTCCAGTGTCGGTGTCTACATGCGTTTTCTCTATCCAACACGGCGTTTCGTGGCTCCATAGAGAGCTCCGCCTACGGCCCCAGTGGAGGTGTCCACATGCGTCCCCGCCACCCAGCACAACGTTTCGTGGCCCCACAGGGGTTCACCTGAGGCCACAGTGGCGGTGTCCACATTCGTCTCCCCCACCCAGCACAGCGTTTCGTGGCCCCAGAGGGAGCTCCACCTAAGGCCCCATTGGCGGTGTCCACATGCGTGCGTCCTCTCCACTAATCACAGCGTTTCGTGGTCCCATGAGGAACTCCACCTGAGGCCCCAGTTGCGGTGTTCACATTCGTCTCCCCCACCCACCACAGCGTTTCGGGGGTATTTTTGGGGGTCTCTTGGGGCCTCCTGGGGGCTTCTTGAGGCGGAAAGTTCGGACTTTTGATTCGTGTTCCCTCTTTTGGGCCCCTTTGGTGCCCTCTTGGGCCGTTTTGGGCACATCTTGGCCTGTCTTGGGACCCTCTTGGGCCGTCTTGGGGCGGTCTTAGGGGCCCCGAGGGCCGTCTGCGAGCGCCTGGAAGCCGAAATGGCGACAGCGCCAAAATCCTTCAAAAACTTTCGGAAACTGAATGATTTTGGCCTCTTGGGGCCCTTGGGGGCCTCTGGGGCCGTCGTGGGGCCATCTTGAGTGTCTTGGAGCAATCATTCGGCGACTCGAGGCCGTCCTGGGCTGTCTTGAGGGCCTCTTGTGACCCTCTGGGCTCGTCTTGGGGCGCCCTGGGGCCAGAAAATTCATGCGACAAGACGCCGAGAACCCCATGGGGGCACGCGACAAGCCTCGTGAGATTTGGAAATTTTGGTTCCGGCCCCCAAGAGATTCTGCATGGTCGAGGATTGAGGCTCAGGGGATTCAGGGGATTGGGCAACGGAGCTGAGGACACGCCCGCTCCGTGCCCAGCGGCACGGTGGCGGATTCTCCGGATGTGGTTCCGTGCCCCGATAAATAGTTGTGGAGCTCAGAGGAAAGCTCGGCCGCCAAACCGCGGAGCTCCTCACAGTGGTGCGCTCTTAGGGGGACTACGCTGCTCTGTTACTGAAACCAGCCTCGCAGCTTGCTGGTCCGAGTACTGGGAGGTCGGCGGGTATGGATTCATCATGTGTCAAATTAAGCAAACCTTATCTGGCCTAAGATATCTACGAGCTATTTTGCCGTAGCCCTGGTTGTCCACCTCGGGGCCAGCCTGGACTAGGTGCGTTTTGTCTTCCTGTGCCTTGGTCCGAACTTGTGCCATCCTTTCGTTCCCAGCTGAGCGCACTGCGCGCGCTGTCCGTAGCATAGCCAGGTGATGTATTGGAGCGATACGTACCACCAGGTGAGCTTTTTTTTCTCAGCCTGCTTTGTATGCGCTCTGCTTTGCATTCCCAGGGCCTCTGCCGTCACCCACGCCAGGAAGCAGATCACAGATCCAGCTGCCGGCGGCACGTCCCACCACTGGTGCCGGCGCAGCACCTGGGGTGGCGACTGATCGCGGGGCGCACAGGAGGCCGCCCCGCGCGACACTTCGCGACCCGAGTCTCAGGAGAGCCGCAACATGCGGCGCACTCTTCCGCGTCGCGTCGCGTGTTATCTTCTCGTGTTCGTGGTCGTCCTCCCTGTCTTCCGTCTTCGCTGGGGCTCCTTCGGGGCCGTCTTGGGGGTCTTCTTGGGCAGCTTCTGGGCCGCCTGGGGGCCCGCTTGCGCCGTCTCGGGGCTCCCTTGGACTCTCTTGGGCCCTCTTGTCCGTGGTCTTTTGCGGCCGTCGTGGGGCTTGCTTTGGGCCGTCTTGGGCTGTCGGTCTCTTCTCGTCAGGAGCTGAAGGAAGCCCGACCACGAAGGGACGCGGACGCATTTCAAAAGCCTAGGTGGCTTTCTGAGTTTGGATTCTTCGGGTCCTGTCGGGGATCCTCTTGTGCCGTCTTGGGGACCTCTTGCCGTGTTGAGAGGCCGTCTTGGCCCGTCTGTGGGAGTAAGCTTGGGCCGTCTTGGAGGCCTTTTGGAACATCTGGGCGGTCTTCGTGGCCCGCCTCGGCCGCCTCGGAAGCTCGGGAGCGCGGATCATTTTTTGCTGTCCCCGGGGATCGTGGCTTCGGGGGCGCGGATCGTGAGCAAGGACCCGTTGCTTTCACGATGGATCGTGGGAGGGGCCGTGGGCTCCTGGAGCGTGGAGCCATGCTTCGTTGCGCGCAGGCGTTGCCTCGGGGAGGGCGGGGGCCTGCGGGGGTCCAAGCACGCAGAGCTCCTCTGCGAAGGGGGGCGGGGTGGGGTGGGCCGTAATACACCCTGCCAGGAAGCACGCCACACCTCAACGTGACAAGGGGGCGCGGCGGCAGTTTCCGAAGACGATCAGCCGCAGAGATAGTGTGAGTCCTCGCCCCTCTTGTCCTCCACCCCATATCTTCTTCTGCTTTGTCACCATCTTATCCCTGTGGTTGATACTGCCTTGACGCGTGCACTTCAGTCACTTGTTGGAGCATTGCAGACCGCCGACGACCCCCCGATCCCCCTCACTCATATCCCACATTGCTGCCAGAGGAAGAGAGAGATAGAGAGAGGGATCGTGCAACAAACATCCCAGTGGTGCAGTAGTGATAGCGGTGGACGTCGAGAGCCGTAGAGAGATATTGGGGTAACCAGCCCTAATCCAGCAAGGGGGTTTCGAGGTAATTGTTGACAAGTCCCGTATCCTCACCAGCAGGTTGCAAACGCTGCCCTGCTTGCTCGGCAGCGGGGGAGCATGCAGAAGAACACAGGGCGGGGGAAGCTGTCATATACCCATTCTCTTGGAGGAGGAGGATAATGAGGAGGAGGAGGAGAAGGAGGATGAGGAGGAGCATAATGAGGAGGATGAGATGGAGTAGGGCGAGGACGAGGACGACAAGAAGGAGGAGAAGGAGGAGGAGGATGAGGAGGAGGAGGAGGAGGAGGAGGAGGAGTGGGAGGGGGAGGAGGGAGGAGAGATGGGGAGGAATAGGTGGATGAGGAAGAGGAAGAGGACGGCGAGCAGAAGAGCCATAAGCTTCTCAAATGCCTCGCGGAGTCTCCTCGGATGGGTCTTGGACGCTTTTTGGAGGCCTCTTGGAGCGTCCTGGGGGCACCTTGGCGGGCCCAGCGCCGTCTTTGAGTGTCTTGGGTGCCTCGGGGATGGATCCTCTTGTGGCTTTTTGGGGGTCTCTTGGAAGCCTCTTGGAGGCCTCTTGGGCGCCTCTTAGTGCCGTCTGAGCGCCTCTTGGGGCCCTCTTGGGGCGCTATTGGGAGCTTGAGGGGCGCTCTTGGGGCCATCTTGGAGGACATCGATCAACAAAGATGGAAGCTTCAATTTGCCTCCCCCCTCGAGAGCCCCAACCATCGCCTATTGGGGCGCTCTTGGGGCGCTCTTGGAGCGCTCATGGGCGCTCTTGGGCGCTCTTGGGGCCGTCTTGAGGCTCTCTTGAGCCTCTCTTGAGGCCCTCTTGTGCCATCTTGGAGCCATCTTGAGTTCTCGGATGGCCATCGGAAGCGAAAGGCGAGAACGCACCACACATGGAGTTTCCTCAGGTTTTGGACGGATTGTGGCCTCTTCGGGGCCTCCTTGGGGAGCTCTTTGGCCACTCGGAGCCGTCTTGGAGCGTTCTTGGGGCCTCTTGGAGCATCTTGGTAGCTATCTTAAGGCATCTTGGGCCATCTTGAACCATCTTGGAGGTCATCTTGGGCTCTCCGGGGCCCTCTTGGAGCCGTCTTGGGCCGTCTTGGACGCTCCAACTACCCGCGGACCCCCCCGTTCAGGTCCAGGGGAGGGGGTAGGGGGAGGGGTCAAGCCACCCACCCGCCCGTAAGCCGTCTAGCTTACTCCCACCCGTCCTCCCAACACATAAGTAGCATCCGAGCCTGAGCATGTTCAGCGATCGTCTTTGGATGGGCAGCTACTAGGAACCAAAGCCGACCCCAGGTGCGCGACGCTTGGGCGAGGTGCGCCACGCGTGCCAGGGGCGCCACGCGCGCCAGGCACCCCTGGGGCCCGAGCGTGCCAGGCACGCCTGGTGCGCCAGATGCGCCACGTGCTCCGAGTGCGCCAGGTGTGCCGCACACTCCAGCCGCGCCTGGTGCGCTACGTTCGGAGCACATGCAGAGTGCGTCAGGTGCGCCTGCGCACGTGACAGTACACATTAGGAAGCATGCCCGCCCCCGCCATCATTGTCGAAACCCAGTGCCCATCATTGTGTCTGGTGGGCCTGCGCACAGCAGGCCACGCGCCACCACCCCCGCCGTCCCTGTCAAAAATCACTTGAGAGTGATCGCGGGATGGCCGCGCATGATCCAGATTTAGCCGCGAGGTGCATGTTGTATTTTTTTGTCAGGGATGGTAGCCCTGCGCTTAGCAGGGAATATGCTGACACCAAGTGCTCGCGGGCCTGACGAAGGTGACTCAAGACTTTGTCCCAAAGTGTACTTTGTATTGTTTTTCAAAAGGGATGGTTGGCCGCGCACCTGGTTGGCCGCGCATGCTCCAAATGTGGAGGCAGAGTGCGGTTTGTAATGTCTTTTGACAGGGATGGTGGGGCGCGGGCCCGCATGGGGTCGGTATGGTTCCGGGTTGGCCGCCGGCCATGTGGGGAGGGGGTGTATCTTAATAGGGAACACTGATAACCCCCTCCCCGAACGGGAAGACGGGGGTCGGAAGAGGAGCCTCCCTAGACCACCTACGCCCAGAGGGCTGGTGGGAATAAGCGCAAGTGCTCCTGCACAGCTGCTTCATGCCTCTCTCATAGCTCGATTGTGAAACTACTCATGTGAGTGCTGGAAGGTGTCTCATGCATACGTCTTCTGGGTAAGAGACATATGCCCCTCGAATTTTGGGACCGCTGGGGGATAATCCAGGCGCGCTTCATCATGGAACAGCCCGAGCCCATACAAAACCAATGACTTGCAAGGTCTAACAGCTGGGGCACAACACACTCGGGACCAGAATCCCACCAGCCCTCTGGGCGTAGGTGGTCGGGAGTTTCCTCGTCCAACCCAGGTCTTCCCCTTCGGGGAGGGGTTTACCCCTTCCCCCTACTCCCTCCCCTGGACCTGGACGGGGGGGGCGCAGGTAGTTGGAGCGTCTAAGATGACCCAAGACGGCTCCAAGAGGGCCTCGGAAAGCCCAAGATGACCTCCAAGATTGCTCAAGATAGCGCAATCTGCCTCAAGATGGCTTTCAAGATGCCCCAACAAGCCCAAGCACGCTCCAAGACGGCTCCCAGAGGCCTCCTAGAGTTCCCCGAGAAGCCAACATCCTTCCAACACCTAAGGGACATCCATGTTTTTTGCTTTCTCGCCTTTTCGTTTCTGATGGCCATCCGAGGCCTCAAGATGGCTCCAAGGTGGCCCAAGAGTGCCCCAGAAGAGGCCCAAGAGAGCCCCAAGACGGCCCCAAGAGCGCCCAAGAGCGCTCCACGAGCGCCCCAAGAGCGCCGCAAGAGACGACTGTTGGGGGTCCCGAGGGGGGACGCTAATTGACGCTCATCCCTTTTTTTTGATCGATGTCCTCCAACATGGCCCCAAGAGCGCCCCTCAAGCTCCCAAGAGGGCCCCAAGAGGACCCCAAGAGGTGCCCAAGAGGCGTCCAATATGCTCCCAAGAAACCACCAAGATGCCTCAAGAGGAACCCCGAGGCACCAAAGACGCTGAAAGACTGCTGTGGGCTCGCCAAGATGCCCCTCCTCCTCCTCCTCCTCCTCCTCCTCCTCCTCCTTGTCCACTGTCTCTTCCTCCTTCCTCCTCTTCGCCCTGCTCCTCCTCCTCCTCCTTTCCCTCCACCATCCTCCCCTCTTGGGGTATCGGACGGATTCCCCCCGCCCTTGATTCTTCGGCATGCTCCCCCTACTTCCCTGATCATCGTTTCTTGATGGGCTGGCGGGGTTGCGCGAAGCGTTTAGAAGATCGTCGAGCGCCCGGCCCGTGACAGGGTGCGACCGTGCTGACGTGACGTGCCGCTCGCCAAGACAATCTGCACGGTTCTTTCTGCCAGGGCGCTGGAGCTTCCAGGTGTGGGTGATAGTGGAAGTTTGAACAGGATCTTCTTACCATTATGTGTTTGAAGTCGGCATTTCGGTTTTCGAATGAGGCGTTGCCTTGGCTGTTGTTCAATTGCGAAGAGAGGGTGCGCGCAGACGTGCGTCTCAATCGTCCGAAGCTGCCGCCAGGATATGGTTGACTGACCTTGACAGTTGCGCGGGACTCGACCGGAGCGGGATCATCTCATGCGGTATGTTGAGGGGTAGGTCCCGTTCCGCCTGACGGAGCGACGGGGGGGGGGGCGGTTCATAGAAACGAAGAGGTCGAGGCACCATCACAAGTAGCAGGGGCCATATGTCAGCGAACCATCTCATGCAGTATGTCGAGGGAGAGGCTTCGTCGCCCAAACAGGGTCGACAGAGCAGGCCTAAACACCGCAACGGATCACCCAGCCCTTGTCGTCAAGAAAACTCCGCGCCAGTGGATGGAGGCGACGGTTGTCAAGAAGCGCGAAGGCCCATGGAGTGGGAGGGGTTGAATTCGTAGTAGGGGCATGCATCGAAGAGACGATGATTACGATCTGTTCTTCGTCGCGGTCATACCCCTCTGATAACGACTGCGTCCTTGAAGTGCGCCTTCGCTTGAATTGATCACTCGTTGGCACAGGCGTCTACAGTGGTTCCTTCCCTCGATGCTTGCTATAGATCGAGATCAAAGTCTCTGTTGCATCGACGAGTTTGGTCAGTGAGACGATGCAGAACTAATGTTGGTATATGCCTGGAGTGGCCCAAGGTCCGATACTTGCTCGTACCCATGCCTTCCCTTCTCGCCTTTTCTACCCATTACGCTTCTGTAGGGAGCAAGAAGAGGGTTGTGATAGGCTGGCCTTCAAGGGCAGACACGTAGCAGGAACACGAACAGTTGCCAAGCAGAGAGCTCGAGCGAGGCACTGGGCCTTCTGCCACTCCCACCCTCCCATAACATTACGTTTATCAACATCGGCCCGACCAGTACTCCTCCCTTTGCAGCATGTCTGTCCATTATGGCGTGTGAGCTCCCGCGCAGCTCGACCACGACGTGAGCCGTGCTTGCCCGAGCGGGAAGGGTTGGGCGGCCGTCGCGCCCAACGTCTCCACTCCGGCGTGTGAATTCCACTGCGTGGCATTCACCGGGTATTATAATTCTTGATGCTTTGCGTATCCCCACAAGCTCGTGCTGCGCCCAGCAGCTAATTAGGTTTGCCCGTCGGCCCGGACTCCCTGTTCGCCGCCTGCGCTCTTGCTCGCGGCCGCGACCAAAAAAGTATCCCCACAAGCACACTCAGTGCAGCTTGCAGCTCACTTGAGGCGCCGCTTAGGCAGCTTAGGCAGTTTGGGTGCGCGGCTCTAGTTTGCTCCTGTTGTCAATTAGTAGGCCCGCGCCCCAGACTTACAACACGCCGTGTGCGCTTTCGCCCGCGGCCGCGACCAAAAACAAGTACCCCCACCAGCCATCCAGAAACAGATCGGAAGGCGGGTTGCCTTGGTCAGGGAAGTGTAGAAGCGTGCCGTGTAACAATAGCCTTGGAGCCATCTTGGGTCTCTCGTTGGGGTCCTTGCGTAGCCACTTGGGGCACTCTTGAGGCCCTCTTGGGGCTCTTTCGTGGGGTCTAGGGGCCTACTGGCTCTTTTGGGGGGGGGTTGGGAGGCCTCTTGGGGTCATCTTGGCCCCTGGGGCTCAACAAGAGAGGGGTAACGGATTCAGGTCCCCCATCGGAGGCTCAACAATGACGTCTTGAGGCCCTTTGGAGCCGTTCTTGGAGCGCTCTTTGGGGCTCTTGGGACCGTCTTGGGGCCGTCTTGGAGCCCTGTTGGGTCCCTCTTGGGGCTCCCTTGGGCCATCTAGGGGTCATTTTGGTGCCTCCGAGGCCCATCGAAAGCGATACGGCGAGAAGACAACCATCATCAATGTTCTTTAGGTTTTGCAGCCATTCTGGCCTCTTGGGGGGTTCTTGGAGGGCTCGGGGGGCACTTGAAACCATCTCGGGGCCGTCTTGAGGCTCCTTGGAAGTGCGTCGGCGGCAATCTTGAGCCATCTTGAGTTATCTTGAGCCATCTTGGAGGCCATCTTGGGGTCTCTGAGGCTCTCCTGGAGCCGTCTTGGGCGATCTTGGGGGCTCGAACGCCTCGTGCCCCCCCCCCCGCACTCCCAGGGGAGGGGGTAGGGGGAGGGGTCAAGCTGCCCACCCGCCCGCAAGCCGTCTAGCTCACTCCCACCCGCCCTCCCAACACAGAAGTAACACCCGAGCCTGCGCATGTTCAGCGGTCGTCTTGGGATGGACAGCTACTGGGAACCAAAGCCGACCCAAGGTGCGCGACGCTTGGGCGAGGTGCGCCACGCGTGCCAGGGGCGCCACGCGCGCCAGGCACCCCTGGGGCCCGAGCGTGCCAGGCACGCCTGGTGCAGATGCGCCACGTGCTCCGAGTGCGCCAGGTGCGCCGCACACTCCAGCCGCGCCAGGTGCGCCACTTTCGGGGCACGTGCAGAGTGCATCAGGTGCGCCTGCGCACGTGACAGCACACATCGGGGAACATGTCGGCCCCCACCATCCTTATCGAAAACCAATGTCCATCACTGTGTCTGGTGGGCCTGCGCACAGCAGGCCACGCGCCGCCACCCCCGCCGTCTCTGTCAAAAACAACTTGACAGTAATCGCGGGATGGCCGCGCATGATCCAGATTTAGCCGCGAGGTGCATGTTGTATTGTTTGTTGTCAGGGATGGTAGCCCTGCGCTTAGCAGGGAATATGCTGACACCTCCGCCGCCCTTGTCAAAAACAAAACAAAGTGCTCGCGGGCCCCACGAATATGACTCAAGACTTTACCCCAAAGTGTACTTTGTATGGTTTTTCGACAGTGATGGTGGGGGGTGGGCCGCAATGGGTTGACCGCGCATGCTCCAAATGTGGAGGCAGAGTGCGTTTTGTATTGTTTTTTGATAGAAATGGTGGGGGGTGGCCCTCATGGGGTTGCCATGGTTCTGGGTTGGCCGCTGGCCAGGTGGGGGAGGGGGTGTATATTAGTGGTGAACATTGATCAAGACACCCTCCCCGCCGCCAAGCCGTCTCGCTCAAGTGCCGCCCGAGCCGCAGCGTGTTCAGCGGTAGTCTCTGGATAGACAGCTAACGAGAACCGAAACAAACCCCATGTGTGCAACGCTGGGGCGAGGTGCGCCAGGCGTGCCAGGCGCGCCATGCGCGCCAGGTGCGCCATGCACACCTGTGGCCCAAGTGTTCCGGGCACGCCAGGTGCGCCAGATAGGCCGCGTCATCCGCGTGCGCCATGTGTGCCGCTCCAGCCGCGCCAGGTGCGCCACGCCACTTTCGGGGCACGCGCAGATCGTGCTAGGTGCGTCTGCGCACGTGGCAGTACACATCAGGAAACGTGTCGGCCCCCATCACCCTTGTCGAAAATCATTGCGCAATCGCGGCATAGCGTCTGGTGGGCCTGCACATAGCAGGCAATAGTCAATATGCGAGCACCCTCGCTGTCCCAGCCAAAAACCAAAACACAGTGATCGCGGGGTGCCCGCGCATAATGCAGATTTTGTCTCGAAGTCTCTATTGTTTTATTTTGGATAGGGATGCAGGCCCTGCGCGCAGCAGGCGATATGCTGGCACCCCCGCCGTCCTTGTCAAAAAATTACCCTGGCGACGTACCCAACCCCTGCGCAATGCGGGGCATGAGTAGCTTGGGAGACGGTATACGGAAGTGATGACGTGACATGGGCTCATATATATTTCTGCGAGCGGCATTCGTGAGGCTCGCAGCTCTTCAAGGATTGCGAGGTCCCGCTCAGATCTGCGTGGTGCCTCACTCCGCTGGACCCGCCACCAGCCTTTGAAAGTAGCGACAGTTTCGCAGATCGCAGCCCCCCAGGCACGGCGAGGTCTTCCTCAGATCCGCGCGGTGCCTCACTCCGCTGGACCCACCAGCAGCCCTCGAAAGTGGCGACAGTTTCGCAGATCGCAGCCCCCCAGGCACGGCGAGGTCTTGCTCAGATCCGCGCGGTGCCTCACTCCGCTGGACCCACCAGCAGCCCTCGAAAGTGGCAGCCGCAGATCGCAGCCAAGGCGGCGAGGTCTTGCTCAGATCGACACCCACCAGCAGCCCTTGGCGACAGTTTCGCAGATCGCAGCCCCCCAGGCACGGCGAGGTCTTGCTCAGATCCGCGCGGTGCCTCACTCCGCTGGACCCACCAGCAGCCCTCGAAAGTGGCGACAGTTTCGCAGATCGCAGCCCCCCAGGCACGGCGAGGTCTTGCTCAGATCCGCGCGGTGCGCCTCACGACGTTTCGCAGATCGCAGCCCCAGGCACGGCGAGGTCTTGCTGAGGTCCGCAGAGCGTCCGCACTCGAAAGTTTTCGCAGATCGCAGCCCCCCAGGCACGGCGAGGTCTTGCTCAGATCCGCGCGGTGCCTCACTCCGCTGGACCCACCAGCAGCCCTCGAAAGTGGCGACAGTTTCGCAGATCGCAGCCCCCCAGGCACGGCGAGGTCTTGCTCAGATCCGCGCGGTGCCTCACTCCGCTGGACCCACCAGCAGCCCTCGAAAGTGGCGACAGTTTCGCAGATCGCAGCCCCCCAGGCACGGCGAGGTCTTGCTCAGATCCGCGCGCTGCCTCACTCCGCTGGACCCACCAGCAGCCCTCGAAAGTGGCGACAGTTTCGCAGATCGCAGCCCCCCCCAGGCACGGCGAGGTCTTGCTCAGATCCGCGCGGTTCCGCTGGACCCACCAGCAGCCCTCGAAAGTGGCGACAGTTTCGCAGATCGCAGCCCCCCAGGCACGGCGAGGTCTTGCTCAGATCCGCGCGGTGCTTCATTACACAGTGCTCGCGGCCACCGACCATGATCCAAGATTTTGCCCCAAACTGAAATTCTAAATGCTTCGCGCATCCCCACCAGCCCGTCCAGAACAGAGCCCCAGGGGAGAGGAGGTGATGAGAGAAGCGGGGGAGCATGCAGAAGAACAAAGGGCGGGGTAAGCCGCCATATACCCCAAGAGGGGGAGGATGTAGGAGGAGTCGTCGTGATCGGAGTAGGAAGAGGCAGAGGAGGAGCAGGAGGAGGAGTAGGAGGAGGAGGGGGAGGAGGAGGATGCAGATGAGGAGGAGGAGATGGAGGAGGGCGAGGACATGGAGGACGAGAAGGAGGAGAAAGAGAAGGAGGAGGAGGAGGAGGAGGAGGAGGAGGAGGAGGATGAGGAGGAGGAGGAGCTGGGGGCCTCGTGGGGCCATCTTGGGGCCATCTTGGGACCTCTTGGGGCCTCCTGGGCGCTTCTTGGGGCCATCTTGGAGGAGATCTATCAAAGAAGGTGGGGGGTGGGAATTAGCGTCGCCCCCCAGGAGGCCAACATGGGGCCACAACCTTAGTAAAATCAATGATTTTGGCTTCCTCGCCGAAGCCATCTTGGACGCCCTGCCGACCAGCGGCCCCCCCCATCCAGGTCCAGGGGAGGGGGTAGGGGAAGGGGTAAACCCCTCCCCGAAGGGGAAGAAGGAGGGGTGGAAGAGGAAACTCCCTAAACCACCTACGCCCAGAGGGCTGGTGGGATTTACATTGTTTTTGACAGGGATGGTGGAGGAGGATGTCCTCATTGGTCCTGGTTGGCTGCCAGTCGCCTTCGGTGTAGGGAGTGTTTATTCACAGGGAAAGGTGATACACCTTTCCCTTGAGCAGGTGAAGGAGGGATATTGGCAGAGAGAAGACAAAACTCGTTAAATCACCTACGCCCAGGGCGCTGGTGGGATTCACACTGGGAGGTGCACACCGTATATCTTTTTGCACAGGCTCAGGATAACCCGCCTGTTGCGTGGCCCCGCTGCTGATGGACCCAGTTGCCGAAGAGCGGTCGCGCAGTTTTGAAGATCTTGTCGTGCGATACTTCCATGTGATAGCGGCATTTCGTGCTTTCTGTGCGGTATGCGAGTTTCTCCGCTCGTGTCGCGCAGCTTTTGAATCCGAGCACAAAGCGTCAAGGATGAAATAACAATTACGTCTTTCTGTTGTTCATTGGTCGGTAGATGGGAAGGCACACTTTTGGCTGCAATCGGGGGAGTGACTACAACTCGACGTCAGGGCTGGAATATTCTTAGGGGTAGGAGTGTGGCAGTGTGGCGGTGCGAACAGGAATCGTGGGATGACCAGGGGAAGGAGGGAAAGAGCATGATAACGATGAAGAACAGAGGGAGATCGACGAGCAAGTAATACATGCTCGTCGTCCTGGGAGAGGGCGCTCCTGGTGTGTGGTTGCACGATGGGGAAGTGGGGGGCGGGGTGGGGTGGGCGGGTGGAGGTGGGGTTTGATGATCGACGCTGTCTGGTCCATGCTACGGATGGCCCTTGATGTACGAGGCGTGCACTGTGGCTATTTCACATTTTTTGTTGTTGTTTGTTTTTTTATTATTCTTATGTTCTTTTGGACCGTCGGTTTTGACTTTGTTACGATACCGAGCGTTTTTGACGGATTTTGGCA